TCCTGGGTTCCGTCTCCTGTGTCATGGGGAAAATAACGGTAATACTGGGTGCTGAGACCCACACACGCTGGCCTGCCCTTCCCGAATTATTTCTAGAAAGAATTGTGCCTCTCTCTCTATCTCCACCCCCCCATGTGTGTGTGTGTGTGTGTGTGTGTGTGTGTGTGTGTGTGTGTGTGTGTGTTAGTGTGTATATGTGTGTGCCTCCTCCTGCTGCTGGGGGCGGGGGGGAGAACCTCTGGCTTCTCACTCTGAAACCACATCTGTTGAGGACATTGAGGATGAGCATGTGGTCAAACCCATATTATTTACTATGTATGTGTGGACCACTGCTTCAGAGACACGCAAGTCCTAGGCAGAGCCCAGGCATGTCCTTGCCTCCCTCTGTCCCTCAGCCATTTCCCCAACCCCTCACTGGGGGATTCTAGACAGTGGCTTTACCACTAAACTACATCTCCAGAACTCCAGTGTCTCAGGTCTTTATTCTCAGGCTTCTGCCATTTCACTTGTTCCTCTCTCCTGCAATCAGCTGACCAGTTTGTGTACGGACTCTTCTCCACAGACCAGGCCTCTGGGCCGTGTGCTAGCCACGCGAGGGCTGGAGGTCTCCTGTGAATCAAAGCCATTCTCTCTGAAGCTGCCCCGGGGATCCTTGCAAGTATTGATAGCTGACCCTGCCATTGTCCTGCTCAACTACCTTCTGTGGCTTCTCAATACCCAGGAAGAAGTTCAAATTGCTATAAGTCCCCCAAATCTTCAGACCTCTCAAGTTCACTGTCTACCCACCTTCTGAATGTTAGGATTACAGGGTTGTACCATCAGGTCTGGCTGTAATTTTATCTTTCCTTTTCTTACATTAATTAATTAATTAATGTGTGTGTGTGTGTGTGTGTGTGTGTGTGTGTGTGTGTATGCTGTGTGTAGGTCAGAGGACAACTTGATGGAGTGAGTTCTTCATCAGGTGGGACCTGGGTTTGAACTCAAGTCATTAGGTTTGGCAGCAAGCACCTTTACCTCCTGAGCCATCTTGCCAGCCCTCAATGTAAAACATATTAATGAGATATTTTGCTTTTACTTCCTTAATGCCATCTGGTGTATTCTCTCCTTACAGTATATTGCAGCTCGATCTGTATTTAGACTCCATAAGATACACAGTTGAGAAAGCACACACCCCAATCCAACTTGTTTCAAACATAACTAAGTCTTCCAGTGAAGGAATCAGAGATTCATTTTAAAATGTGATTTTAATGAATGAAAATGAATCTAGGTGTGGTTGGCTCATGACTCCAATCCCAGCACTTGGGAGGCAGAGGCAGGCCAAACCTCTATGAGTTTGAGGCCAGCTTGGTCTACAGAGTGAGTTCTAGGACAGCAAGAGCTGTTATATAGAGAAACCCTGTTTTGAAAAAAACAAAAAAACAAAACAACGAAAAATTTAAAACATAAAAAGAGGAGGGGGAGGAGGAGGAGAGGAGTTTACGGTCTTTTGAGAGAGAATTTCTCTGTGTAGCCCTGGCTGGCCTGGAACTCACTCTGTAGATCAGGCTGGCCTCGAACTCAAGATCTGCCTGCCCCTGCCTCCCGAATGCTGAGATTAAAGGCACGCACCACCACCGCCCAGCGATTTTATGTTCTTTTTGAGTTGAGTTTCTTAGTCAAATGTGGTGATGCACAGCTGTAATCCTAGCACTTGAGAACATATAAGATCATGAGTTCAGCCTGGGATACATAGTAAATAATCTCATCTCAACTAAATCATCATCATCATCATCATCATCATCATCATCTAAGCAGAGCAGTAGGGCTACAGCTGAGGAGTTATTTGGAGCGATTTCCAGGCTTTGGTTCACTTAATCTGCACACTAACCCTATGATGTGATCACTTTAAAGATGAAGGAGGTTATAGAGGCACAGAGAGGTTTTAAAGTCGCTCACAGTCACACAGCTAGTCAGTGGCAGAACCAGAATCGTGTAATCCAGTCGCAAAACAACCATGAGAAATGAGCTTCCAGCCCCTTGGATCATGGCCTTGGAGTGAGAAGTTCATCAGTATTCAGATTTACACGTGAGCATGTGCACACGCATGCAAACACCCAAAGGAAGTTTGATAAACTGCCAATTATATCATTATATGCAACATGTTCTGGTGTGTTCTAGACTATAGCATTCTGTCTTATTTTTTTTTAATATTTCACTTATTTTTATTTTACATGCATTGGTGTTTTGCCTGCATGTATGTCTGTGTGAGGGCGCTCGATCATCTGGAAACAGAGTGACAGACAGTTGTGAGCTGCCATGTGGGTGTTAGGAATTGAACCCAGGCCCTCTGGAAGAGCAGCCAGTGCTCTTAACCACTGAGCCATCTCTCCAGCCCCTTAGTCTATCTTATTAAAAATGTTGCGGCTGGAGAGTGGCTCCGTAGTCAAGAGCATTTGCTGCTCTTAGAGATCGGTTCCCAGCACCCATATCAGTTGGCTCCCGACTGCTTGTGACTCCAGCCCCAGGGGATCCAATGCCCTCTTCTGGCCACTGTAGGCACCTGCACACATCACACACACACACACACACACACACACACACACACACACACCCCCCAAACCTTTAAAATAATGTTGGTTGTGGGGCTAGAGAGATAGCATAAAGGTAAAGGCTTGCTGTGTAAGCATGGGGCCCTGAGCTCCATCCCTGACACCCATGTAAAAAGCCAGGCGTGGTGGCTCACACTGTGTTCCCAGTCCTGGGCAGGCAGAGGCAAGTGGATCCCTGGGGCTTGCTGGCCAGCCAGCCTAGCTGAATCAACAAACTTCCACCTGGAGAGAGATACTGTTCCCCCCCAAAACAAGGCATGTGACTTTTAAAGAATGACACTCTAGGAGCTGGAGAGATGGCTCAGAGGTTAAGAGCACTGGCTGCTCTTCCAGAGGTCCTGAGTTCAATTCCCAGCAACCACATGGTGACTCACAACCACTTATGAGATCTGCTGCCCTCTTCTGGTGTGTAGGTGTACATGCAGGCAGAACACTGTATACATAGTAAATAAATAAATAAATAAATCTTTAAAAAAAAAGAATGACCCTCTAGGTTGACCTCTGACCTTCACACACATGTGCACCTTCCCACACAAAACACATACACACACACACATGAACACAAATGCACAAAAATGTTGGGTGAGACTCATCAAATTAATTTCCATGTCCTGTTCCACTACGCTGTTTTTACAAACCTAAATTTTTTTAAAGATTTATTTATTTTATTTAATGTGTATGAATATTTTCCTTACATGTATGTCTGTGTGTACCATGTGTGTGCCTGGTGCTTTTGGAGGTCCAAAGAGGGCACTGGAGCCCCTGGAACTGGAGTTATAGGTGGTCATGAGCTGCAATGTAGGTGCTGGGAACCGAACCGAGGATCTGGGCCCCACACTTAAGACTTTGTTTGACTTTGTTTACACTTCCTTATGGACTACGACTCCACCGAGGGTTCGGTCTCTAGCATGTGAGTATTGAGGGAGGGGACAAGTGGTCCATTCATAGCAGCCCTATGGTTTTAGCAAAGCTGCTTCCCATGAGGAGGAGGATGGGACAGTCCTATACTTTGCAGGCTGCTGTGGAGAGAAGGGACAGGAAGGCACTAAGGTCTGCCCATCTCATAGTCCAGGGTCCTCAAATCTAAAGTGAGGAACAAGATGTTAGGGGAGGTGGTCTCTGCAGATTTAGAACCTCCAGCTATAACAGAGCCCCGTCCATGCAGGATTCTGAGGTGTGGAGGGCCCCCCATTCCCAGATCTGTTGGTCCTATGAGATGGGGTGAAGACCTTGGCGTACCCAGAACCACTGACTCAGGCTGGGGAGGTGGCACAGTTGGTCGAGTGCTCATCTAGCATGCATGAGCCCTGGGTTCGATCCTTAGCGGCCTATAAACTAAGGGTGGTGGGGGTCACTTGCCATCCCAGTACTAGGGAGGTAGAGGCCGGAGGACTCGGAAGCTTGGAAGTCATCCTGGGCTATATATATGAGGCTGTCCTGGGATTCCTGAAACCATGTGCTGGGAATGAACAAACAGCAAATACACTCACTTGTGGCTTGATTCAGATAAGTGCTTTGCTTTCTGGCCTCAGTTTCCCCTCTGTAAGAGTGATTTCATAGCTGCATGCCTCAGTTCAGCTTAAGGCTGGAGCTTCTCAGGCAAACACCAGGCTGTTGAGTTTATGTTTCTAGAAGGGTCTAGAGATCTGCTGCCCTTTGGGATGTGAGGTGGGGTACTCAGAGCAGGACCTGAGAGGGGAGAAGGGAATATCAAATCCTATGTAGGCCATTGGTTTTGTTATTGTTTTGAGATAGGGTTCCTGTAGGCAGGGATGACCTTGAATTTCTGATCTTCTCCAACCCCTAAATGCTGAAATTATAAACACACATGTCACTGAGCAATATTCTGCCGGGTAAAGGAGCCTTGAGGCAGATTCTGATGGGAGAAGAGGGGACAGGAGCAGTTCCCAAAGGCAGGGTTGGCTGAGGGACATCAAGAGTCAAGGTTGGCTCCTTTCATTGTGACTGCAGTCAAGATTTTGACAGAGCCTGGGAAAAGCCACCTATGGGCTGCTTTGAGTCTGTTACTCTGTGGATGTGGCTGAGGAGGGACCGGCTGGCTTGGGGCATGCCACATCACAGGGCAGATGGAGAACACAGAGGAAGCCAGAACACGCTGCCAGGTGGGCCCGGAGCCATGTCAGCTTGCAAAGAATCCCCAGGGAGTCAGGGAGAACCTGGCTTCCCTCCCAGGTCTTGGATGGGTGCCGAGCCCAATTTGGTTGAAATATACAAGGACAAGGTGACTCCAGATGTTAGGGGGGCTGGAAGGTGATGGGAAAGGCTGGGAACCGTGTGAGGACATATAGGCTGGGATGTCTGCTGGGCTCCTCAGACTCGTGTTCTTATCTCCATTGGTGTATACCCTCCTGTATGCATGCACACAGTAGGCATGTGCAGGCGTCGGGGTGGGCGGTGGGCTCACCTCCTCCCTAGCCTCACACCTACGTTCTTTCCTAGAGGTGTGTTACCCTAGAAATTCCTCTCCCTTCCAGGATTTCTCTGCTGCTGCAGCCAATTTTCCTTCCTGCCGTGAAACTCCTCAGCAGACCCTGCCAGAAACATCTCTTTCTCATTTATTTCGGGCTCCAGAGAGGCAGCGAGAGGAAGAACCCTGCAGATGGCTCCCTGGTCTTTTCATCAACATGACAGCCTCCTGAGCACACACGCTGTGGAAGCCAGGGCCTGGCTCCAGAAGAGGCAGAGCCCAATCCAGAACAGGTAGGAAACACTCTAGAACAAGTGGATTGTGTCCTAGAATAGGCAGTGCCTGGCAAGACCAGAGCCTCTGGCTGGGGGTGGAGGGGCAGAGTGGAGGTGGGTCATCATATGCACAGGCCCCTTGAACTGTCCCTTCACACTTATGGGATTCTTGGCTCGAGGGAGTGGTTGATGGCTGTAGCTCCAGGGCCCCCAGCACGGTGCCTGGCCCTCGAAGATCTATTAATTCAGGTCTACTGGAATTTGGAATTCGGTTAGGAGAAACACTTGGGTAAAACTGTGCCCTCTGAAGTTCAGGAGCCAGGAAGATGGCTCTGGGTGGAGGTGCCCACTGCCAAGCTGGAGGACCCGAGTCAGTCTTCTGAACCTAAAGGGTGGAAAGGGAGAACGGGCATCTGCAAGTTGTCCTGTGACTGCCACCTGGGCTCCATGGCATGCAACTCCTTCTGACCCCTGCCAATAAACAAACAAATAAATACGTGTTAAAAAAAACAAAAACAAAAACAAACCACGTCGATCCAGACCTCAGGATGTGCCTTCCTGGGAAGCAGGGTCTGTACAGATGGGATTAAGGATCTCAATGATGTTATCCTGGGTTTGGGGATACCATTATTGCCTCCCTCTTGAGCAACCCTCTCTGAGCCACGGGTAATCCTGCCTAGCTACAGGCAGTCTTAGGAGATGCTGGAGTGTATGAGAGGTAGGAAATTAATTGAAAGGGGGGCAGGGGGAGGGACTGGAGAGGTCTGGGGGGATGGGGGGGCTTTACCTTGAAGCTTTCAGGAGTCTCTCTTGGACTTTGCAGTGACGTTTTTTGGGTCACTCCTGTACATAACCCCCATCCATGCTACTGTAAGTAAGCTTTCAACAAATTCATGGGTTCACTAAATTAGAAGACTTTTGGAGATGGGTGGTGGTGGCACACGCCTTCAATCCCAGCACTCAGGAGGCAGGTGGATTTCTGAGTTTGAGGCCAGCCTGGTCTACAAATCGAGTTCCAGGACAGCCAAGGCTAGACAGAGAAACCCTGTCTCAAAAAAACAAAACAAAACAAAACAAAACAAAACAAAACAAAACCTTTTGGGAGTTGGTTCTTACCTTCCACCATGGTTCCAGGGAGCTGAGCCATCTTGCCAACCCTTGTTTGTTTTGTTTTGAGATGGTCTCGTGTATCCCAGGCTGGCCACAAACTCGTTTCTTGTTGTAGGCTGACCTAAACACCCAACCCACTTGCCTCTACCTCTCAAGGGCTTGGATGGCAGGTGTCCACAGACAAAGACTCACTGTTACGCACCAGCTAGGTGAAAGTGACAACAGACTACAGTCTCCTGAACCTCAGACTCCACATCTGTCGGATGGCCGTGTGGGCATCTTCCTCCCAGCACTGGCAGGGGATTATGTAAGATGTTTCCCTACTTTCATGTCTGTTGCTGTGATAAAATACCCTGACAAAAAGCAATTTAGAGGAAAAAGGGGCTCAGTCCGGCTTACAATTCCAGATTATGCTGCATCACTTGGGGAAGTCAAGGCAAGGACGGCAAGCAGCTGGTCACATGACAGCCACAGTCAAGAATGTCATTCACAGTCAAGAGCAGAGAGAACTGAATGCATGCATGCATTCAGCCCAATTTCTCCTCTCTCATGCAGTTCAGAACCACCTCCCTCCCCCAGCTCTACCCCTACAACCTAGGGAATGATGCTGTCCATGGTGGTCAGAGTCTTCCCAAATCAGTGACTTCAATTAAGACAATCCCCACAGACAGGTCCACAGGCCAACCTGACCTAAACAGTCCCTCACTGAGATTCTCTTCCCGGATGATTCTAGGTTGTGTTAAATTGACAATAAAGCTAACCACCACAGATGGCATCTATAAGAGGTCCCAACCCAGTGCCTGGCACCCAGCAGGCACCCCAGGCATGCTGATTCAATGAATGAACGAACATCCCCAGCTTATTCCCTCACACACAGCTCTGGCAGACAGGGTGCAGCTCAGGATAGTGGTGCCTGCTCAGCCCTATGCCTGACTCACAGACGAGTCATCCCCAGCCTCAGGACACGGAGATCTGAGGGTCCTCCTCTGAGGTGTGGGCTTCTTAAGAGGTGAGCTGGCAGTTTGGCTACAGAGTAAGAGCTGAGCTCACTCTGTGAGCCTTTGTTGATAAATTATAAAGGAACTCAAGCCTGATACTGAGAATGCAGAAGGGAGAGAGGGAGGCTAACAGCAGATAAATATATCCCTCACCCCAAGCAAGAGGAATTCTAAGGGCTCCTTTTTGGGAGAACTAACCTTCATGCAGAATAACGAAGCAAGCTGAGATGAGCTATGCCAGGGACAGGCTTTATCAAGGAAAGGCATGAAGGTCAGGTGTCAACTCTGTGCAAATCAATGAGCTCGAGGTTCAGAGAAAGTCCCCAAAATAAAGGTGAAGGGGCTTGTCTTCCTGCAAGCACGAGGACCTGAGTTCAGGTTCCCAGAACCCATGTAAATGTCTGGGGGACTCGGTGGCCTGCTTGTAATTCCAGGCTTAGAAAGTGGAGACAAGATTCTCAGAGCAAGCTGGCTAGAGATACTACAGACTAGCTGTATCAGTAAGCTCTGGGTTTGATTGAGAAACCTTGCCTCCATGAAGAAGGTGAACAAGTGATAGAGGATGATTCTGGACATCAACCTTGGATCTCTACATGCATGAACACACACATGCACACTATCCCCCCATGAATGCAAACACACATACATGTGTAGACATCATACACACACACACACACACACACACACACACTTTAAGATTTATTTTTAATTAAAAACATTAATGTATATGGGTGTTTTGCCAGCACGTCTATACCATGCACATATCCAGTGCCCACAGAGGACAGAAGAGGGTGTCCAAACTCTCTGTAACTGAAGTTACAGACAGTTGTGAGCCTCCTTGTGGGTTCTGGGAACTAAGCTTAGATGCTCTGCAAGAGAATCCCACACTTTTAACTGCTGAGCCATTGCTCCAGCCCCAAGGTTTATTTTTTATTTTTTTATTTATGTGTATGTGTGCATGTCTATGTGTGGCCGTGTGCACCTCAGTGCATGTGACCCTGGAGGTCAGGGACATCAGATGCGCATGGAGCTGGAGTTAAAGGTGGTTGTGAGCCGCTGCCATGGGTGCTGGGAACCGAACTCAGGTTCTCCACAAGAGCAGTGTTAAGCTTTAACAGCAGAACCAACTCTTCGGTCCAGTGGTTTGGTTTTTTTTTTTTTTCAGACAAGGTCTTATGTAAAACCCAGGTTGGTCTTGAACTGACTATGTAGCTGAGGATGACCTTGAACTCTTGCCTTTACCTCCCAGGCACTAGGGTTTCAAGCTTGCACTACCGTGTCTGGCATTCAGTTTTATTAATTATGAGATTTGTTTCGTTTACTCTGCACGCCAGGCCCTGCGGCAGGCGACGGCTCTGTCTCCAGATGTTTGTGGGTTCATTATCCTCTCTTTAGCGGCACTGTAATTATCATTAACAACAACCAAATCTTTGGGAATTCACCCTGGGACAGGCAGGCGATTGTGAAGCTCAAGACAGCTGGGCTAGAACACACCCCTTGGATGCTTCTGTCCGCCTGTGGGGCTTTCCTAGCAGCTCGGACCTGGAATGAGTTTGGCGGGGAGGGGATTACTATCTCTCAGTCAAGCAAAGAGGACAGGCTTTTCTGTGTGGCTCTGAGTAACTGTCACCCAGTCTAGGCTCTTGCATTTGTTTCCCTCAACGTTTTTTCACAACCTGCCAAGTCCTGTACCCCTAGGGCCACCTGTCATAATCTTCCTGCAGCCTGGTAGCCAGCCTCACCCTGAGTCTTTAGGCTCTGTCTAGGGACAACTGAAACAAACAAATCAAAACCAAAAAACCACACTGGCCTTAGTGCACGGCTGAAGGGTAGCCAAGAATTTGGGAAGGTGGTAACCTGTGAGAGTCAGCTGCAAGTGTAATGGGATGGAAACCTATATCTAAACTCCCAGAATTGAGCTAAGAACCTGGTTGAGATGGTTGGTCTTAAATGTCAACTTGCAGGGCCGGAGAGATGGCTCAGGTCTTAAAAGATTGTCCTACTTCTGTAGAGGATCCGTGATCAGTGCCCAATACCCATGAGGTGGCTCACAGCTGTCTAGAATAACTCCAGCTCCAGGGAATCCAACTCCCTATTCTGGCCTCTAAGGCATGCATGCACACACACACATACACATACATTTTTTTTAAAGAGGTCACTTGCTGCAATTTAGAATGATCCCAGGGGACAGCCTCATCTGAGGAATTGTCTGGATCAGGTTTGTGGAGGATTATTCTTAACTTAATTGAGGAGAGCAGACCCGGTCCATCATGGGTGGCGTCATTCCCTAGGCTGGGCCCTGAACTGTATGAGGGAAGAAAGCAGCGAACAGGCGGCATGACATGTATTCATTTCTCTCTGCTCTTGACTGTGGATATGATGTAACCAGCTGTCTCAAACTCCTGCCTCTACGACCTCCCCAAAACAATGAACTATGACTTTGAATTGTAAGTGGAATAACGTCCTTCCTTCCTAAGTTGCTCTTCGTCAGGGTATTTTATCACAGCAACAGAGGGAAAGCTTGTTCAGTGTCTAAAAGAGAGTCCGCTAGCCGTTCTACAGGAGGGAAAGTTTTTGAGGTAAAAACCCAGTTAACGGTGGTGGCGCACGCCTTTAATCCCAGCACTCGGGAGGCAGAGCCAGGCGGATCTCTGTGAGTTCGAGGCCAGCCTGGTCTCCAAAGCGAGTTCCAGGAAAGGCGCAAAGCTACACAGAGAAACCCTGTCTCGAAAAACCAAAAAAAAAAAAAAAAACCCAGTTAAGACTCTGAATCAGGGATGGAGAGATGTCCCAATGGTTAAGAGCACATACTGATCTTGCCGAGGACCCGAGTTCAAAACCCATGCCAGGAGGCTCACACTCACCTTTAACTCCAGCTCCAGAGGAATCTGGCGCCCTCTCCTGGCCTCT